AAAAAAAAAGCAGAACTTTTGTGTGATTAAGTGTGTTTCTGCATGGTTGTATGTTTTTCCATTTGTGGCTCTCTCAGTGCAAGATGAAATGTACTTCCGCAAATGGTCGCTGCCAGGAAGGTTTTCACAGTTATAGGGGTTGTGGTGTGAAGCTATTTCTGTGGTTAAAAGCCATTCTTTTGAATAGAGACATGATTAGAAAGCAGTTAACGAGAAAATATTCTGCAGTACCTCGCATGTACTTTTGTGTGTCCCCTCCCAGTCCTGGCGAACAGCTTCTAGTTGAACAATGTTGTTAAAATACACCTTCTCTGTGAGAATAGAGCATAGTTAATAGTTACAGTTAACAAATGAAACACTGGTAAAGAACACAAACATGACCGCCGCACTTTTTTCCACTCTCTTAATTTATTTTTCCATGAAATATTCTCAAAAAAAAAAAGTGGACAATGAATGCAATATACTAAAAATGCATGCAAGTTAAAAATAAAATGTGAAGGCATACCAGCATCATTGGCCGCCTGCCTGCATTGCTTTATCTTGTGACGTACCTGTGAATGAAATCGGTGCACAGGAAGCCACATTCAGTGAGTTATGTAACCATTTTAACACCAGTCAGAGAGACCGATATATAAATAGGTTGTATAGGGAATGGTCTTGAAAGAGATAAAAGAAGAAAAGAAAACATCTCACACCAGCACACAAACACACTTTAGTTCCGCCTTGCAAACTGTTGCACAACTGCAGAAAAGTCCCATCATGAAGACTGCACCGCTGACAGCTGGAAACTTGTAGTTCATAAATAGAACTGCCAGTGGGCATTTGCACATTTTGTGGTGCATTTCTCAAGGAATCTGAAAGTTTGTATTTTGTTGCTTATAAAAACATTTGTCTTTTAGCGAGGTAGCTCATGCACTTATTTTACCTTTTCAGGGTTTTTGGACGTAGCATTTGTTTTCTCAGCCCCCTGCTCTGCCTCATCGGCCTCCTTGCACTTCACCTCATAGTTCTTCTTAGACTAAGAAAAAGAGAAACAAAAATTATTAGTTCTATTTCCGACAAAGCAACAGGAAGAACACTTTTTGTAAGTGATGCAAATTTTTTAAAAAATTTTTTAAATCTGACTTTTTTTTTGGTGTGCTTGCTCGAACATAAATTGAACAACTTTTATGTGGTTAAGTTTTCATGTTTCTTTCTAAATCACGCTGATTCCATGTGTTAGTGATAAATGATAGCAGTGGAAGTGTCTCCTACCTCCATGGTCTTCTTGAAGAATGAAACTTTTTTCTTTTGAACCTTCTCCATGATGCTTTCAAACT